AAGTTTCCTCCATGTTCTGTATGTAAAGGTCAACATGCTCTTTGGAATTGCGCCGTATTCGAAGAGAAAAACGCTACGCAACGAGCGAAGCATGTAGCCGAACAAAAACTTTGCTTTGCGTGTTTACACAGCAATCACAGTTTCTGCAATTGTAGCAAGGCCAGAAAGTGCCCCAAGCCAGATGCGACGATGGCTAATGCCCTAGTTCTTTGCGATAGTGCTTCCACGCACTCATGGGTATTCGCTGATCTCGTAAAACGTCTCCATTTGGTTGGTACTCCCGTTAACATCACCATAAATGGATTCAATTCCACAAGCTTGATGAAAACTCATCAAGTAAGTTTTCAAGTTTCCGCCGAAACGAATAATAGTGAATTTTCGTTTTCTTTTCGAGCTTATGTTAAGGATCATATTCGCATTGGATCGGATAGCATAAGTATTCCTGAATTACAGGAAAAATACCCGCAGTTGGCTCCGATAAAACCTATACATTATAAGTACGAGGAAGTCAAAATAATTTTTGGACAGGATTTCTAACATGCAAAAAGACCCGTTGAGTACCTTCTGGGGGAGGACTCTATTTCACCGTGCGCCGTACGCCTTCCGATAGGTTGGGTTTTAAGTGGTCCGCTACCGCCGTCCTTCATGTCGAACTCGTCTTGCTTTAAGTGTGTTGTCGAAGACATGTCTCTTGCGGACCAAATTAAAACTTGGTATGAGTTGGAGTCGTACGGAGCCTTCAAGCAAGTAGATGCCCGTTCTGCCGCCGACAAACGCGCTTTGTCCGTTTTGAAAAATGATACCTTTCACGATGGTGAGAGGTACATTGTACCAATGCTTTGGAACGATAAAGAAAGTACTTTACCGAAAAACTATTTTTCCTCCTTAGCTCGTATGGAGCCTCCCGCCACAAAAAGCGAAGAGAAGGTTGATCTTCTTCACGGACTCCAGACTGTAATTAAAGTCTTTGGAAAGAAGGCTAGATAAAGATCCGTCGCTCCGTGAGAAATACGCCGAAACAATTAGAGATGATATACAAAAAGGATATGTCATAACCGTTTAGGCGCACGAGCCCAAATCACGAGCCGATCGTGAGTGGTATCTCCCGCATCACCCGGTGTTGAACCCAAATAAACCAAGTAAGGTTCGCCGAGTCCTCAATAGTGCATCGAAGTGTCATGGCGCTTCCTAGAACAAATCTCTGTTGGTTGACCCGGATCTCCTTCAAAACCTCATTTTGTACTTTTAAGATTCCGTCAGCATAAACACGCCGTTTCAGCTGACATTGAACGGATGTTTTTACAGTCTGGAGTCCGTGAAGAAGATCAACCTTCTCTTCGCTTTTTGTGGCGGGAGGACCCCACATCAAGTGTGGTAGTTCACCAATACACGTGTCACATTTTTGGTGCTCGTGACTCGCCGACTTGTGCGAATTTTGCTTTGCAGAAGACTGCATCGGTTCATCAAGCTGAGTACCCCGAAGCTGCTTCGGCTGTTGTCCAGAAGATTTATATGGATGATTATCTGGATTTTTTTCAAAACAGGGATGACGCCTTGGAATTAGGCAGGGATTTAATTTCGCTGCTTAAACTAGGTGGGTTTCGTTTGACAAAATTTGTCAGCAAGGTGCCCGATGTAACATACGCTCTTGATCCGGACAACCGTGAGTCCAATTCCTCTGTTAAAGATATTTATAGGAGTCCAGACCAGTAGTCGCATGTTCTCGGTCTTAAGTGAGATCACGTAAGATACCTAAGTCGTTAGTAGAAGGGTTGATCGTCCACTAGACAAAGCAGCCACCCAGCGTACCGTGTTGAGTTTTGTTTCCTCTGTTTTTGATTCAATTGGATCAGTGGCCCCGTATACCGTGAAGAATCGCCTTCTATTAAAAGATATCTGGCGAATCAGCGGTCAAAAATGGGACAATGATCTCCCAGAGGAAATCAAAAAGCAGTTCCTTGAGTGGCATTCAGGTCTTCAATTGTTAGGTTCTCTGACAATACCTCGTAACTATTTCACTGACGCTTTCGACCGAACAGAACTTCACATGTTCGGTGATAGTTCGCAGGTTGTTTTCTGTGCCGTCGCTTTCCTTCGTGCGCGACTTGCGTCAGACCGAATTAGCCTTTGTCTTTGGCAAAGCCCGCGTTGCGCCTATGAAAGCGCTATCTATTCCAAAGTTAGAGCTTCAAGCGGATTTTTTTACAACCCGTTTAAAAGAAGAAATTTTGAAAGGTCTTACTTTCAAAGTTACGGATATTTTCATGTGGACAGATAGTACCACTGTTCTTCATTGGCTTAACTCCTGTAATAAACTACCCGCTTTTGTTGGTAATAGCACTGGTGAGATTCTGGAGTCTACCACCACTGATCAGTGACATCACATACTTAGCGGTGATAACCCAGCTGATACCGGAACACGAGGGATTTCTTCGGAAGCCCTCAAGGAAAGCAGCTGGGTTAATGGCCCTAGTATACTGAGGACAATTGATTGGCCGTTCAAGCCCGATTCAAGGGTTATTGATAAAATAAGACTCAAAGGACCTTCATGTGATATCAACATTTGTCTGGAAAAATCGTCAAATTTCGTCGTCGATGTTTTGACAGAAAAAAATCTTCCATTCGGAAAATGGGAGAGATTCAATTCAATTGTAAAATACAAACGTACAGTAGCATTTTTGTTAAGATGTCTGCCATCCCATAAACATTTCCGGTCGAGTATAGTAGAAATTACCGACCCGTGTGAAATGGACATTGCTGAACAGAAGGTCATTTACCTGTCCCAGGGTGAGACATTCCCTAGCGAGCTAAAACTACTAAGATCCGGTAAAGTTATCACGAGGAATAGTCGGATCGCCAAGTATTCGCCGTTCATTGGACCAGCTGGCATCCTTCGCTCAGCTGGCATCCTTCGCTTGGCTAATTCCGATTTCGATAGCAAGCATCCGATTATACTTGATGCACGTCACGCGATTGTTCGTTTATTGGTTAGACACTTGCATGTTAGGAACTTCCATCAAGGCTTGGATTACAAGCGTGCGGTGGTTCATTTGAAATACGTTGTGTTAAATTTGCGATGGTTGCTGCGAAACATTGAAAATACTTGCGTTGCGTGTCGAAAACGCAAACCGTAACTCCCACAATGTCTGATCTGCCCATTGAAAGGCTGGGTTACAAGCAACCTCCTTTCTCTAACACAAGTGTCGACTACTATGGGCCGTTCCTAGTTCCGATCCGGAGATGAACGGAAAAGAGATGGGTTTTTTGTTCACCTGTCTCACTACTAGAGCGGTGCACATTGAGCGGTGCACTACTTTGGGCCGTTCCTAGTTCCGATCCGGAGAAGAACGGAAAAGAGATGGGGTTTTTTTGTTCACCTGTCTCACTACTAGAGCGGTGCACATTTGGTCCCCTCTCTCGACACAAGCTCCTGTGTTATTGGGGTGGAGAGGTTTATTGCACGTCGCGGTACTCCGACTACCATCATGTCCGACAACGGCACGAACTTTGTTGGCGCTTAGAAAGAGCTCTTAGCTTGCGTTGAGAGTTGGAACAAGCTCGCACCCGCTGTTTTTTGTCCAGAAAGGGGTCAAGTGGAAATTAAATCCACCCAGCGCACCGCACCATGGTGGCTTATGGGAGCGATTAGTTCGGAGTGTCAAGCGTGTTTTGTATGACATTTTAGGCAACAGAAGAGTAACTGAGGAGGTTCTAAGAACCACGCTGTGCCTTGTTGAGCCATCACTTAACGCTAGACCGATAACAGCCATTAGTTCCAATCTGCTAGATCTAGAGGCGTTGACCCCGAATCATTTTATCCTTGGTCAACACGCAGCGAGTTTTCCGTCGCTAAGTTTCGAAGAAAACTTCGAGCATAAGAAGCGGTTCGCCAGAGCGCAAAAGTACGCTAACGCAATATGGACACGGTGGATGCGGGAATACATTCCTTCCCTCAATAAGAGGGCAAAGTGGCACAACCCATCAGACGTTAAGTTGAAAGCCGGCGACTTGGTTTGGGTCATAGCCTGACACTCCACGTGGACATTATCCACTCGCACGTATCGTAAGACTGCACTATGGCAAGGACGGATGCGCGAGATACCCCGACATAAAGACCGTTACGAGCGAACTGACCCGCCCGACCGTTCTTCCTTGTTTAGGGGTGGAGGATGAGGCAGCGCAAATGCAACGAGTATAAATGTAGCATATAAAATGAACCAAAATATAAATGCATATAGGGACAATAGCCGAGCGTATACAGGGTGCGTCCCGGCGGGTTCGGCGCCGGTTCGAATCCCGCCTAGGTCACTTCCTTCCGAGAACTCAAATATGCTCCGAACTTGATGGGACGCTCCGTAACCAGTGTCGAACTCCCCCCCCCCCCCCCCAAAAAAAAACCTATGTTAACCGTCTTTTCGCTCTAATTTGGTTCAGCCTTTATTAAGGCTGACCGGCAAAAAGAGCGATTTGTCTGAAGGACAAATAATGGCCATTTAACAGCTTGCTTCGAGTTATTCAGATGTTTCTGGCCGATGTTAACAATGATAAAGTATGTTAAAAATATCGTTATGTTACGAAATCTCCGGAGTGATTTTGCCGAGAAAATACACATTATTTCAAGTGTTTAAAAACGTTTTTTTTTACGAATTGTGGAGTTTGACGCGCACATATATACACCGGCCGAATCAAAACTGCCACCCAGTAAGACTAAAAACTAAGAAGTTATTATCTGTTTTCGACGAAAGAAACAACTGAAAATCAAAGAACGCTTACCGTACACATCAATAACATGTAAGCAGAAGCTGTACAGCAGCCACGAGCGCAACTTGGTAAATTTGCCATCAAATTCTTATTTCAACAAGCTTGTTTACAGGAAAAAATGTCTAGTACGCGATTACAACACCTTTGCTTACCACAAGGGTAAAAATTAGTTTACATTTACCTTCAGCTGCACTCATCTCTTGATCGTCGTGAGATACAAGCGAGTTGGAAACATCAAAAAGTGCTTAAATTGTTTAAACCGAGTATTTCACAAGAGGTCATTATATATCAAAAAAGAACATCAAAAGTAACATCAACAAACAAAAACACAACAATAGTTCCTCATTGATGTTCTCATTTTTTGTTCGCCAGTTCTTCATAGCTAAAGAGATGTTCACTTCATATATGAACAAGAAGCCTCATTCAGAAAATTTCAAGTCCGATGCCACTAGATTAAAACATCTTCCATATTATCTGAATGTTTTTGTTCCAAATTTTTTCACTTAATCGCCAAATTGCTTTTCTCCCTTCCGGCGCATACCCCTAAAACAAATAAAATTATCTCAAGGTGAAATCGCAAATTTGCGTTTCTCTGCTTCTTGTTGAATACGTTCTCTCAATGACTTTCTATAAACTAGCTCTTAATACTTAAGACTTGTTATTTGAATCTTAACAATAATACACTTAACCTCAGCTCGGCAGCTTGATTCAAATTGCGTTCATGCATTCTGAAACAATTGTTCAACACTTTGAACGCTTCCTTGGCGTCAAAAACTGATTCTCCGACAGACGACATGTTACTCCCCGTTTCCTTCACGGACAAGCTGTCAGGGGATCCGAGTGATTTCTGAAAGCACAACAGAAATGTTTGATTCAATTAGCAACAACAGCAACTGTGATAACAAGTACAAGGCACAGCCAGCTGAATGAAAGCCGAAAAAAAGCTTATCGAAAAAAATTCAAACTTAGCAAACAGAAAGTTAGAAAAAAGCCGATTAACTCAGCGAAAACGAAAAAAAAAGAAACCAAAAAAAACCATTCACTAAACAATTTTAAGTTTTTGAATTTCAGAAAAAAAATCAAGAATTTCTTTATAATTGAACTTTCAAATCATAGAATTGACCCACTTTGAGAAAACTAAATCAAGGCGTAATTTTTTATATTCGGCTGAGTAATTTATAATTCCTCCGGGAGTTTCGTAATTGAAGAGCGTTGTTCCTTCCTTACAGCAAAAAAAAAATCACGAATCAAGCCGCAAAATAAAGAAGGAAATAATAAAACCATTTCTTGACCGAAGTTTTTATTTGGCAATTCTATTAACTTCATTTTCCTACAAAAAAAAACAAAATTTTTTCGAATTTTAAGCATTTTCTACAATTTTTCGAGTTTGTAGAACAATTTATGATTGACACTGGATCAAAAGTTAGATTTTCATCCACTGGGAAATCTGAAAACTAAATTGCATTTTCAAAACTAGAAGTCGACCACGTTTTTTGTGATCTTTACACTTCTAGTGTCCGATAGTGGAGGTGCCTTCCTTGTACACAGAGGTAGCGCTGCATTTCGCAAACACTAGCGCGAAAACGACAAAAAAAAAACAGCTCTAAAAAGTGATAAAATAGAAACAAAACTTGAAAATTAAAAATTTTGCTGTGGCGGATTCCATCCTACAGCCAGGAGAGTTAGAGCGCCTTTTCGACGCATCTGGCCCACAGGCCCTTGACCATTTACTAACAAAAGCCATAAACAAAGCAGCTACATATGCAATTAAATTGCCAATGCAATGCAGCAAAAGTGGCACCAAATACAGATGGACACAAATTTGCAAGTAATTATTTAGAATATATCAGACTGAAGGTACCCACGCTAAGTTTGCATATAAAAAATTGGAAAGCATTAATCCGCATTATATATAAATTATGCATTTCAAAAAATTGAGAGATATATAGATAGCTTTCTTTCTATCATTTGAACAAGGAGAAATGCATCAAATGTGTCTACTTATTAATAATCGAATGTTAAGCACATGCTATCAAAAAGCCGTTAAGGTGGCACCAAAAGTGACACCAATATTTGCGACTCAGGTCAGAAAAAAAGAATAGTCGCACTATTACACTAACTCCCACTAAATTTCGCTGCTGTAATTATGTACTGTTGCTTAAAAAAAGCTTTTTCCGGTTCATTTGATGAATTAAAAAGCATCAACTGTGTTAACTCATTAGTAATCGAATGTCTAAGCGGCACCAGTATTTGCGACTTGGGTTGTAAAAAAAGAACACTGGTACTATTACACTACGCTCGCTAAAGCTGGCAAGTATAATCACGGCATATATAAGAGTCTGAATTTTCATCGAATCAAATTGAGAACACCGAATCAATATATTTTTTATCCAGGTCTTTTATCCAAAAATAAAAACCACTTTTGAAACTTTGAGTCGAGCTCCATTTCTTTGCAATTAATTATCGGAGATTGTATTTTGCCGTCCAATTTTTCAATGAATCAGATTATGAGCTTAAACGAAAAGTCAAAACATGTTTTCACCATTTCAAATCTTTTTCGAGAAACAGAAAAAGAGCATCGACCGTAATGAAAGAAAACCCAATTCGTTTATTATCAATTAAAATATTACGCCTCAGTGTAGTCTTGGACTCACTCGAACTCTTTGCAGACTAGGGAGGTTCTGGGAACACGACAGCAGTTGGTCATATTTGGTTAGGTAGTCGCGACGTCCATCCCACAGACACTCCGCAAAACACCTACAATAGCGAACAAAATTATGTGTTTATTCTTTTCTCACTTGGCTCAATTCTTTACCCTTTTAATCTGCATTTCCCACACTTTAAGGCATGGCAACAATTAGTTGCAGACGGAAATTCGTCGCGATAAGAAAAAGCAACATTTTGTCGCAATCCAATATAATCAGAATTTATTGCTTTTTAGTTCCGTGAAACATTGCATATAAAATCCCACACCCACTGAAGAATAGCTATGTGGCCGCCGTGCATTTTAAACTTTTTTTGCCATTTAGTTATGTAAAATTACCGCACACTACTCAGCGAAAAAATTTCGCTTTCAGAAGACCCAAGTAATTTAGACCATTAAACCAGGAGGGAAAGCAATAACAGGCAATATATTCACATCTATGTTAATTGCTATTTTTATGAGTATTTGATACACCATGCCCTTCGTGCACTTTTTAGAATTCAGATTGCATTGTCAAGCCTATAAATGTGCTGTTTCGATATCTGTTTGTCGATATAAAGAGGCACTTAGCCTAGTAGTAGGGTGTTCACTTGAAGATTGCCAGATCTGGTAATGGATACCCTGCCACGGCAATGACAGTGTCAACAAAATAACTCAGTCTGGAATGTGGGGAAATATTAGAAACGGACTCTGCTTAGAGAGACTGGATAGCCTTTCAGATCCTCTCCAAAATCACAGAAACCACAATAATAATCATAATATTACCTTCCGATGAACACCAAGTCTCTTTTTGCTCCGTCCGAGGGCGAGAAGTCAATCAGATGGTGCAAGTTTGAAATAAGCACCATCCAACAGTGTCCAAAAACTGCCTTCTTAAGTTTCTGTGTTTTGTCTCCAGCTGAGTCACATAGCACCATTAGAGTTCGAACTATTTCAGAAATCTCGCTACAAACACAATCAAGTCTCTTCTTTCATTGCGAGTGATAAAACTGGTCAAACCACATTGAAATTTTCTCAACTCCCATTTTTTACCTTCACGACATTTCTGCATTTTAATAGTAAATTTGAAATGAACACTACCAAAAAAAGTGGAAGCCTCTCGTTTATTTACACTCAATGAGCGTTTTGAAACTTTACCTAAGCTATTAAATAAAATAATTCTCAAATTATTCTAGCTTTAAAAGCATAAGGAGAATCAACTCACCTATACTTTAGGATTTTGGCGAACAAGTACACAACATACGGCAACATCTTCTCCTGGCATATCTCAACAGCTGAAGGGCTGGAAACCAAGTGGACCTTTCGGTCCGTCTTCTTATCTGACTTCCTGACTGGTTCGCACATGAGGAATCTGTCGTATGCTTCCGGATCCTTGGCGACTCTACTCGGAGCTTCCTCTTCTGGCTTCACATAGAACACCGCTTGCTTCGGAATGAGCAGATTTTCCATGTGAAATATTCTACAACAAAAGTGATGCAATTTACTAATAGTTTTTGACAGGAGCGTCTCAGATAAACGGTACTGAAATAATTTATAATATATCACCAACCATTTGAGCGATTGTGACCAAAACGGATATCTTTTGAAAAATTTGGTGACTTTTGAACCATGACAGTCGAAAATGTTTCCAGAAACCGTCGGATCTTGCTAAATAACTCCCCCTTTTGCAAAACGGGGGATTCGTTACAAGGTACAAAATTCGTATAAGCTGTAGTTAGTATATAACTGTTCAATTCTTTCTCAATAAGGGAGGCGCCATACAATTAACAAGATCCAAACAACAGATCAAAACCTAGCCAACTAAAAGTTGGAAAAAATTCAATGAACAAAGTAAAGAAAAAAACATCCGACTTGTTTTTTTTATAACAAGCTCAACTTTCGACATTTAAAGAAACAACACATATGGCCTGAAAGATATTTGAATATCTAGTAATTTTTGATTGACCCTTTTTTGATGAAACTAACCCAAATTGAGAAAATTGATCAATAGGTAAAAACTTAATTTCGCTAAAAATTGATTCCACTTTCGAAACTAGAGGTAGGTCACGTTTTTCGTGACCTTTACAATTCCGCTGATCACTTGTGGAGTTTGCCTTCTTTTTAACACAGGAAATGAACTGAAAAAATAAGCAGACAAGCAATAGTCAGACAATACAACTTTTCCCGGAAAAATTCAGATTTATATCTACTAAAAAAAAGGTCCGGGGAAAAAGTCTAGTTGCCAATTACCAGACACTTGCTCTCGCAAGTGTAAAAATAGTTTTGGATCTGATAATTGATGAAAACTCAAAAGAACTACAAAGACTAGTAACTCATATGCTTCCTATCTCATAATTGACACTGATAATATCATTTTAAAAATGAAAATATAAGAATGATACTGTCTCTGTAGCTTTCTTGGATCCAAATGACGGACCAAATGATGGAAAAAAATATATATTTTTTTCAAGTTCAAATTTATTTAAATTTTTTCGAAGAGTTCTAAGTGGGGTTAAGTTTGAGCATCCGAACAATTAAATCAGGGGATAATGTCTCAACGCTCTCATAAACAATATCAAAACTTCGTACGAAACGCAGCATTAGATAAATAAGCCGACAGAATTAAAGCAGACAGCCAATTAGCTGAAAATCAACCAAAATTGTTAGGCAAAAATTTTTGTTGGAAAATATACATGTACTACCCAAATAGTATCCACGAAAGCCATAAAGGTACTGAAATCAAGGTGGTAAAGACAGTTTGGAAATTAAACCGAGAGCTAAATCGAAAACCGAAAAATCATCAGCAAAAAAGTAATATCGATGTTTTATAGCTATATATACAACCAATCTATCAAAATGTTTGAAGATAGTTTAAAAAAACAACATGCCATGACAATAGAGTGCAAAAATAGCATCAGAACAAAACTTACCAAGCGGTAACAAAACAGAAAAAACCTTAGCAGAAACCCTTATGCCAAAAAATTCCTAAAAAAAATTTGAGCCCCATTCTCCTCAGAATTCACACGCACGTAAAAACTTTCTTCGGTCATCAAACGATGCAAATTGGGGCCACTAAGTAGATATAAAATAAGCCGAAACCGATCAAGAAAAAAAATTAAAAAAACGAGATTTTAACAAATCGAGCTGGTAAAATTACAACCAATGTAAACAACATATTACGATTCCGCCGGATTTTCAAAAAGATTTAAAAAAAGCAAAACAACTACAATGAAATTCTTTGCATAAAAAATAAACGATTCTAAGATCTGACAACTAAGCCGACAACACATGAGCTGACAAATAATAGGCCAAAATTTTTTGAACCGAAACTTTCACCGTTTAAAAAATAGGTCCTGGTCAGACTCAAACCCAGGACCTTTGCATTTCCAGGCGTATTCATTACCTCCAGACTAAGTGTGCAGGATACAGTAAGAAAATTGAATTCGTTTTGAACCAAGGTACCACCAGGAGTCGATAAGTCCTGTGGAAAAAGTTGTTTACGGGAAAAAAGTCTACTACCCGCTCGAAGCAAAACCGAAAAGAACGTTTGGCAATTACTAACTAAATGTTTGTTCACCAAAACTATGACGCCGTGCTTGGGGAACTTTTGTTTGTTCCCACACTAAACTGGTATCAAATAAACTGGACAAAATTTTAAATTTACCTTTAGCGGATTTTGAGTTCAAGTGTTTGATACAGATTTGGATTGAGTCAAAATAATTTTCGGCGCTGTTGAAGAACTTTATGTTTTCGGCACTGTTGCACATCGGCACTGTTGTTTTGCCTACCAACAAAAAAGTTGTATACATCAGTTGTCTGACGACAAGAAAAGGCAAGTTATACCAGAGAAATTGTTTTATTCGGGGGAAATCCCCATGCATGAACAAACGTCTTTTTTGTCCAGAATATGTCGAACCCCTCCTTCCTCCGGTAATTATCGAACCACAGCGAATTAAGCACAGTAGACTAAAGCTGCTCTGTAAAAACACTTCTAGAGAAGAGAGTTTTCGAGCGGATCTCCTGAACAAAACGGGCGGATTTTTTTTTAATGTATGAAGTCAAGATGAAAGATTACGTGTCGGTTTTGGTGCAAAAAAATAAAGCGAAAAAAAAAACAAAAGAACATCTAAAAAGAGTGTTTCAGGCAAACAAAACACTTAATATTAGTTTGACCTGTTTGACCCTATGAGCTAAGTCCGCTGATGAATACCATCCCAAATCTCGCTGAATATTCTCTTGAACATTAAAATTGAACATTTCAGGGATAAATTCTCTTGAACTTATCCCTGAAACTTCACATCAACCCAACTTTAACAGAAATTTAAACCAAAGTTTGCAACAACGACAAAAACTGCGCCCTACTTTGAGTACAAGTCCTGATATCTGTTAGACACTGCCAACATGTCACATTGAAGTGTTTCACCTGGTAGAAAACGATTAGATTTTTGCATAAAATCTCTAAATGGTAATTATTAGCAAAATTAATATTAGTTTGACCTGTCGCAGGTAAATTAATACTTCCATTAGTATCACGGTTTAAAATCACAGATGATATTACGGACAAGTACAAAAATAATTGATTTCCAAATGTCATTTAAAACTAAAATTGATTTTAGAAGACTATCTAACTCTTGCAAAAATTCTGAATATTAGCTTATAAAACTTCGCTCCTCGGAAAAGTGGAACACTTACTTGTTTCATCTTCGGTGCACTCCATATACAACTGGAGGTGTTTCGGCATTTCAGATGCCTTCATTGATCTATAGACTAACATGGCCGCTTTCCGCTCAGCCTCAGAGTAACTGTCAGAGGAGAGAAAAGTGAAATTGGCCACTGTGCTGCAACTGGAGTCCTCGTACACTTTCACTGCCAGTGGGTAGTAAATCACTTCCTCTCTAAACTCACAAAACAACTTGGTTGAACAGATTTTTATTCCGACCACTCGGAGAGTGAAATGGATCATAAGATTCGGGTCGCTTTTTTCCCCAGCAAATTTTGGCTACCTCAAAGAAAGCTCGAAAGAGGTAAAGTCAAGTAAAATTAAAGGACATTTCGTCGTGATTTGGATTGTAAAATGAAAGTTTGTAAACAATCCCTTATTTTAGGTTTTCAGATTAATTTAGACGTTTTTTGATCAGACTAATTTGGAAGAGTCTAATCTTGTCACTTTAATTCTACTACAAGTTGATCAATATTTTAGCTATTATTATTTCTCATTCGTGCAGTTTTTCACTTAATTCAGTCATTATTTATCAAAAAACAACAGTTACTTAAAACGAAAATGAAAAAATTTCTTATTTTTATGCATTTTGTCCCCAAAAAAGTCTTTACTTTTGATTCAATTCAAATAATTCATTAAGATAATTCAAAACTTAATCTAATTGCAGAGCAACCAGCTATCCCTGTTCCAGTATGTACTTTGAAAAGAAAGAAACTGTTAATGAGGCAAATCAAGTAACGAAGATGTAATAACTGCAGATAACTCACGACTTCAGAGTTATGTTTTGAGAGCGATGAGCTAAGACAGAGGCTAAGCGGAGCTTTCCATCAATCGAGACGACGCACAGCGCAAGTGTAGCATTGCAAGCTAGCGAAGAGAAACAAAGACGAAAATCACACAGTCGAAAAACAGTAGCAACACAACTAACAGCATCAAATCAGTTTTTAGTATCATGTAACGAGTGACCACTGAGCCGACAAATCTTTGGTAGACGACAAATCTTTGGTAGACTACCAAAAGAAAAAAAAACTACAAATATTTTTGTCACAAAAATATTGAGCGATAAAGTTTTAACCTTGAAATTTTTAGACAAAAACCGTTCTGAAATGTTCTAAAACTAATAAACAATTTTTGCCCTTCAAAAGAGACATTTTGAGACCTTAGGGGCACAGAATGTTCCGACCATAGTTTTTTTTTTTTAGAAAACTACGGTTTAGAACGTTTTTTTTTTCCAAATTAGTGTAGTTTTTTCTGCTTGGTGTGATAACATGATCTGACGTAAAAATATAATTTGGGCATACTATAGAATCAAAATTATATACGCAAATTGGACAAAAATTTTTGTAGAAAGATGACTAGAAAAACAAAAAAAGTTTTTAAAAATCTTTTTTGCAGAAACAGTGCACTTTTTGACGTTTTTGGTTCCCAAAATGAAGCTAAAAACTCCTAAAACTAGTTTTACTTGCTTAAAAATAAGTTTTAAGGTCTTAAATTGGGCATAATTCAGCTGTTGTAAGCCTGCTCGCTTGTTTTATTTGATTGATTTCGAAACGTATTGTGGTTTGAATCACTACTAAAACGATTTTAATATGATATATAAATCAACCCAGTCCGATGTTTATTTGTGGTACCTAATTTTGCAAGGACAACAAAAAGAAAAACTAAAACACACCTGAAAACAAAGTTTCTCCCCATTTTCTAAAATGTTTACTGGAAATGAAGTCTGCTTCCCGCTTGCAACACAATTTATCTCGCAAGTGTACAAAACAAGTTTCGGGCAGTAATCTCAGGTTCCTATCACGCCAGGGTAATCTGTCTCAGAAGAAAATAAAAAACGTAGAAATAAGCTAGACAATTTATCACTGGATATCACCATATGAAATAAATTATACACACAGGCGAAGCAGACCTTCGCATCACTTGCGAAACAAGGCAAGCTCAGCATTGCAAGCTAGCCAATAGAAATGAGACAAAATTTTGAACCATAGCCAACAGACAGCTGGAAAAGAGTCAATGAACGCAAAGAAACAAGCAAAAATTACTATATGCAGCTTTTTTAAAAAAAAACGCAATTATCGAATTTCAAAAAAGATAAATGGCCTTCAAGCTCTTTGAATTTTCAGAAAAATTTTTGATTGGCGCTTTTTTGATAAAACTAACCCAATTAGAGAAAACGATCAACAATAAGCTTTTAATTTGCTGGGAAATACCACTTTCAAAACTAGAAGTCGATCACGTTTTTTGTGACCTTTATACTTCTAGTGTCCGATAGTGTAGATGCCTTTCTTTTACACAGTGGTAGCGCTGCGTTTCGCAAAAACTAGCCAGAAAACGACAAAAAAGCTCTAAAAAGTGAACTTAAAATACAAACAAACCTTGCAAACTAAAACGTTTGCCATCCTTTAAACAAAAAAAAACTTGAAAAAAACCAAAGTCAAACCACAAAAAAAAATCAAATTTGAGCGTGAGCAAATTTCAAGACTTTTCCTGAAATCCAAAAAAATCATCGAGACCTATATAGGAGTCTAAACTACGTTCATCGACTACTTAATAGATTTTGAAGGTGAAAAAAACTTCAGAAGAACAAAATCACAAATATCAACGAGACGATGCGGAGCCACTAGCTTTAACAACCACTAACATAAAGCGAGCTTTTAGTTTTTTCCGTGCTACCACTAAACAAACAACACGTGGTTATACGCGAATTGATCCGAAAACAAAAATACCAAAGAAAATGGTTGTAATAAACAAATCAACACATTTTTGGAAATACGAAAAACTATTTCAGAAAAACAGACGAGAAACACAACTGCTAGCATTACGCAAGCTTTTGGTATTTCCCAGTGTCCACCAGGCCGAGAACGCGTGATTAGACGCCAATTAAACAGAAAACAAAAATTGTCAATTGAAATTGTCAAAAAAATTTCAGAGCGATTTAGAAGTTCAAACTTCTATTTTTTATACTACCAGCCGATCTGATTTATTATAAACTCTTACTTATCGCCAGCGTAAAAACATGAATATTCCTTTTTATCCTTATACCGATGCAATGTAACTTCACTAAACCGACAAAACAATAGCCGAAATCATTTAGGCCAAATAAAATTTCTAAGCGAAAACTAAAACAAAAAAAACGGAAAATACACCAGTCAATTAGTAACTTCAAAAAACTAAAGGTGTTAATCAACGACACTTGAGTCTACAATGAAAATAGATTAAGCGCGAGAAAACAAGCCAAAACATAAGCCGACAAATTTTAATCAACCTTATCTTTTTTTACGCAAAAAAAAAACGATTTCAGGCACAGAAAAAAAAGCAAGGTTCGGCCGGGGCTCGAAGCCGACAAATTTTAATCAACCTAATCTTTTTTCACGGAAAACAAACAATTTCAGACACAGAAAAAAACAAGGATCGGCCGGGACCCTGATACAAGGTTTTAAAGGCAACCGCATTACCACTAGACCAAGTGCGATCAGGCCTGGAGGTTGCTACCGTTTGATAAAAAAAAGCAACATCATTTCAATTCCAAATGTGTAAGAAAAGCTGTTTACGGGAAAAAAGTCTATATCCCGATTACAAGACACTTGCTCACATAAGTGTACGAATTACAAAAAAGTTTTCAATTACAATATAATATCATACAGCACGAGAAAGGTAAATAAAGGTGGCAACCAAGTCGACAAACCATAAGCAGACCCATAGGCCGATCAGGTTTTGATACTTAAAATTTTAGGATTAAAAAAAACAGGTGCTGACCGGTCTCGAGCATACTCCCTTAGCCGATATTGTGCAGGAGAGTGCAGCCAATATTGTAAAGTAAATCAATTTTTTTTTTCTGAAAAACGAGCTTAAAAGTTACTTGAAATAAGTCGAAAAAACACCCAACACCATTATTAAAACGTTCTTACCATAAGCTCGAAAAATGTTCATAAACACCCCCTACCAATCATAAAAAAATCTTTGACCGGCTGGCAACTAAGGAAACAAATGTCATAGAAAAACTTAGAGCTATCAAATTTTCAAACTTGAAATTTTTACAGTCCTCCTGAAACACTCAAAAAAAAGATCCCCCTTGAATCTACGCAAAATAGGTTGACTAAGCCAATATAACGCAAGCTGAACCCGTTTAACCAAAAAATTATCTAAAATCAGAGTTGGTAAATTTACTAACTACCGAACAACTTTAAATTATTTAAAAAAAAAACAGTTTGATTGAAACAAAAACACAAGCAATGGAAAAAGCGGCTTGAAAAGAGTACCACAAAATACAAAATGCGTCTGGAAAAAAAACGGAAAATGAGCCGATAGGAATTAGGATGAAAACCACGAATCCGAAAAAATGAACACTTTTTCAAGAATATTGAAAAATTAATTACTACTTGAAATGATCTAAAAGGTGGTTCTATTTAAAAGTTATTTACAAGCGTGATAGCTTGTATAATAAAAGAAATACATGCAGTTAGCGATATAGGCGTAAAGTAAGAAATACGTGCAGTTAGATATGTTAAAAGCCTTGATAAACATTGAGCGAGCGTCAGCTGAGTCGAAAAAAAAACACTTGGATCAAACCACCTTGAGCCGACAACAAAACGTAGTCAAAAGAGTCAAAGCTATAAAATTTTTACGCATCGTCAAAGCGCAGCTTCGCAACACTTGGGACACAAAAGACACATTGCGCTGCACGATAATGATTAGAAAAGACAAAAGATTCTAAAAGTTAGGTTACAAAACTTATTTGAAAAAATAAAAAATTCAGCTACAAAAATTTCATGTTGCATAGGATGACGATCAAAAACAGCCTTAAAAAGATTTGACATCACTGAGCGGCAACCGAAAAAGAAACGACAGAAACTCTAACAGTGTAGTATTTGAGAAAAAACAAGTTCCCAAAGGTCAAAAACTTTTCCGAAGGCCAGAAACTTTTTTCTGAGGAAGTTTACGGGACATCCGCTTATGCAGTGGAGCTAACAATATCCCATTTTTGTTTCAGATTGAAACCAAAATCTGAAGTTAAGGATGTTAGTTTTAAAGAAAAACCTGGAAAAACGCTTAAAGAACCAAAAATTTGACTTTTCGAGGGCAATAACTTATTTTGTTCTGAGCAAAAACTGAGCATAGCCGCACATGATGGGACACTGCGCATGATTCAAAAACTGAGCACAGCAGCATATGCAGGAGAGGTCTCCAAAACCTGTTCTTTTGGTTGAACACAAAATCTGAGAATTGGAAGATTAGTTTTCGAGAAAAGTTTCAAAAAACAACTGTCAAAAAATCAAAAAAGTGACTTTTCTGAATGCCATAACTTTTAGATAACAAAAAATTGTGCGTAGCCGCTTAAGCAGGGGTAGTTCTCCTCCAACCCATGTTTTCCAATGAACCATAAACTTCAGATGGGTTAAAAGCTCCTCCCACAATTTTGTGAGGGCTATAGAAAATGGGATAAAATAGAAAAACACTAGAAAATTATGTGGACAGACAAAGGACTGGGCGGTGTATCTATTTGAACTAAGTGTTCAGGCAGTTTTTGAGAAAAACTGAAAAAATCCAAATCGTCTCAAGTGTTATAAAAAGCAAATCCCATAAATTTTCATAATACCTGTTTTTTATCAACCAGGAACTGTTCGAGACAAATTTTTTTAAAAAAAAAGCTTTAAAAAAAACTACTGGAAAAGCGCACTAGACAAAATGAATTTCAATTTAAAAAAAAACGGAAAATCAGCTGACAGAATATAAGACGAAACCGACAACTCCGAGAGAAAAATCAGCATTTTTTCAAAACGATTTAAAAATTTAAATACTACCTCAAATGAAATAAGAAGTAGTTTTATTCGAATTTCAAGAATTGAGCATCAGCAGATATGAAGCAGAAATGTGTAAGAAATACCTAAAGAGACAATACTCAGATGGAAGGAAGGTGGGATCAAGGGTTCCCAAGTATCCCATTTTACTTGTCTCGTGGAGCTTCACCAACGTCATCCACACACTCGGCAAGACATCGCTTCCGTTAGTTATCATTTCATCGTAGAAAGAATTCAAGAACCAAGTTGAGGTTAAATTAAAAACAACTTCGTGCTCGTTGTAGAGGTCCAAGAGTCGTTTCTTACCCATGCTTCTACTCACATCACTAAGAACTGCAATGATGATTCCTTTTAAGAGCTGTTTGTTGCTTATAATACAAGCTACAATTAAGGTTCCAGTGATTTTTCGTGTAAAGTGATCTAGCGAGTTAGCTTGTAAGCGTCGGATCAGTTCAAGATATTGCTCTTCTGTTGCGTCCAATTCTGCCTCACTCGAACCACCTTGACAAGCTGCATCGACTCTGGGAGGCTTCTAAACAAATCTTGCAAATGTCCAAAAGCATCCAAAATCTCTTCCTCTCACAGAAACAAACTTTAGCTATTTATGTTAAGCTTGAAAGAATAATTAACCGTGTAGAAGCAAGCAGCTGAGAGAAACTTTTTCTTGTCCATCAGCCTGTAATCGGCGTCGAGAGACTTTATTTCATTTGGAACTTTCTTTATCTTTCTCTCAATTAAAGTTTCCCGGACCTTCCGCAGCTCCTTCGCCCCAGCTAAGGCCAATATGCCTTCAACGACTCCCCAAGCAACTGATAAGCAAATTCCAATCCCAAGTGCTGCATAAAAGTAGGGCGGCAGCATTGGATGATTGTTCGAAATTATTGCATTATATTCCTCATTTGGTGCGAATATATCTTGATCATAGCCTAGTCTGACTCTTATCAAGGGATATCCCGGAGGACCAGGATCATAGCGAACTGGCGGGTCCATCTTTATCTAAAAACTTTCCAAAAAAATGCCTGAAAATACTCCGCATCTAATCAAAACAAAGTAATCTAGCCCAAAATTAGAAAGGTCCTGGAAAATGGAAACCAACAAAACTATCAACGAACTTGTAAAACTGTTTCAATTTCTATTCAAGTTGTAAGACGTTTTTTGAAATGTTTACTTTTCTTAGACCTAAACTCAAAATTGAAAACTAATTTTTGATAAGAAGAGGTTAGACAAGAGGAGTGCAAAGCGCATCCAATCCCAAATACATTCCATTCAAGGAAACATTTAACCTTATTAGCAACCAATCCTGAAAAATTTCCTTCAAGCGATTTTTTCTGTTTTCAATGTCTTATTTTTTATGAAAGTACAAAACTCTCATCTTTTTAGAAAAACTTTAAGTTACTTTCAAACAGAACAAAATATAATGCAGAAAAAGAGTAATACAGAGGTAGGGCAGAGATTGGCACCACCTCCGATACAACAAAAACAAGCATGACAAATTAACGTACATAAATTGCTAATGATGTCACCACGTCCAAAGTTTTGAAATGTCCAGAAAAACTAGATCTGATAGTTAAATTTGAATAAAAAAATTCACGGAGCGGTAACAATGCCGACAACTTTTGATGATTCTGGAGGATGGACGCCTTTCAGTGGCAGAACCATTTCCGGTCCATCTGGATCGGAAGCAAGATCCATCTATCAAATTCCTCAAGATTTGAAGACAACAACGTGTTTTTGACGCGGCACATGAACGACCCAGCTAATCTGTCTCCAATTCCTATGGCGGGATTACTTACGGCCCTGCTCATGACGTTAGTCGTAGCAGGCACTGAAATATACCCAAGCCCTCCATCTCAACTATATACCGAAACAAACTGTATTCCGTTTGATGACACTACGGAGGTTAGGTCCATCTACAGTGGTTATGTAGCCGTGTTTAGACAATCGCATATTCCTTTTCGTCAGTAAGCAGGCAAATACTGTATTAACCAATCAGAATCGAGACAAGGAAGAAACTAATAAATAATTATTATTTAATTTGGAAACTTGCTTTCTCATCTCGATTCTGATTGGTTCATACAGTATTTGTCTGCTTACTGACGAGTAGGAACACGCGGTTGTCTAAATACAGACCGCACTTTATCTTCAGTATACAAAAATTAAAAGCCCTCATGTGTGAAATAAAAGTTTCAAATATGGAGAATGTGCCGACCAATAACTACACAAGCTCTTACTTCTATCTCACTTAAGTCAACAGAGACTAGTATTTAAACTTGCTGGTTAACAGTATTAATTAAACTCGACTGTTTACACGGAACTGCAAATATATATTTTTCGTGTGAGCTCCATATCATTATAAAATTCATGTACTTGGCATCGGAAAATTATGAAGTTATGCATTATGGAAGTTTTCAGAGAAAGGCAGTCAAATTGATAAATGGTTCATCCGATTAGAATGAAAATTTATCGATGTTAAATCTTCTGCTACCAGCTAAACTATACCAACTATGCTTTATTCTTCAAAATTAAAAAAAATCATTACGATTTTAATTTCCACGATTATATTACCATCGATTATATAATAGCCTACGATTATCTATCGATTATATTATAGCCCACGATTATATTAGCCTAATTTTTGTGTTAAAATTCTTAAATAGCTTGTGTGTTTTCATATCATATGCGCGCTGGGCTTTGCTCTTCTGATTACCTTACCAAATCTCACCGTCCCAGCCGTAGGCGAGTGAAGCTTCCCTGGCGTATCTAGAAGCAAGAAGGAGTGAGCAGTTGGAACTACCCTTCAACAAAAACACAGGTTGTACCGTTCCTACCTATCACTTTTTCGTTTTTTTTCAAACTCTCAGATTTAAAATGAATTCATTTCCCAACCATCCCCCCATCTTTCCACGTTAAGAGCTTCTCCGTTGCCTTCGCTGTCTGTGTTTCAGGTGGATTCCCCGATTCCAGGCAAGGCGCATACTTGACTTCTCAGGGAAGCTTGTAATTGGCACATCAAGAACAAAATATATCAAACCAGCTCTAGTAAAATCTACAATTCACTCTTACCAGGGCGCCACACTCCAAAATCTGTACGAATCAATACAGACCAAAGAGCCTCAAAACAAAAACCATTAACACCAGGTATAATGATAATAATGTGCATCCACGAGAAATTGAGCTTAAGTGGAAAAACTTAATCAATTCAATTACAAACAAGTTCCAGTCCAAAACCCTAATCATCCCCAAAACAACCCAAAGCTCCTATAATAATTATGTTAGTTGCAAACTCTTTATTCATAACCATGAGCTGTTTAATTTAATTAATTATTTGTTCATCCACGCACACTCTTTGTTTCGCCCAATCTTAATTAAAATCTACCCGCTCAAAGGTTCTGCCGAGACGGCATCCACTTCTCGTTCTTTGGTAATGAATTCTTTACAAATTTTCTTCTGATACTAATTCTATATTCTCTTGATAATCTGACGACACCGTTCCTCCTCCTATAATGTCTGATCAAACACATTGTATCATATGTAACAACGACCTACGCGGCCGGGGAATTTGGTGCACAACATGCGCAGCCTACATGTATGTAAAATGTGGCGACCTTAACCGATGCAGCGACCACGATGACAATTTCAGCTGCATTTGCTGCACCTCCATGACTACAGAAAACACTTCAACTGACATTCAAGTCCCTCCAACTCATTCTCAACAAGCTCCTTCGACCAACGATCAAAATCCTGCAATTGCAAACAGCAACGAAACTAACAGCCACACTCGACTCATGGTCAAATCCCACACCTGAACTAAAAGATAAAATGAGAGCAATCTACAGCAAAGTAGTGCACTGGAAACCGGTCTTCAAGATCCTCGCTAAAACAGAGAATTAACTTTCAAAAAAACAGGTTTTACTTCATAGAAACTCTAAATAGAACCCTCAACTCATTAATTGAAACACAAGAAAACACACACGCAATGCACGCAACAATGATATTTCCTGACTTCATGCTATGCAAAACCAAATCGGAGAGTGATGGTTCGAAATCCAAAACTATAGCAAGAAGGTTTGCGCAATGGCATGAGGGCGAACTGGACGAAGGAAAAGCGCTACAAATGCACTTGGTAAAAAGTAAAAAAAAAGAAAGTAGAAACTGAATAAATTAATGAACACCGGAAAAAGATCGAGTGCTATTGCTAAATTAACTGACATCTCCAAGGCAGTTCTCTCACTCGAGGAAACCGTCAAAGGTCACTGTTGAGAAAATCCTCATTGGGAAACACCCTCCCGCGGAGCCAATAAACAACAACTATATTAGATCATGCTCCGAAGATACAATCCTTTTGCACTCATCCACATTCGACCAATTAAATGCCCAGAAAATTAGGAAGGCTGCCATGACAGCACATGGTTCTGATGGACCCTCAGGACTGGATGCAAAGGAGTGGAGACGCATACTAAAGCACTTTGGTCAACATTCAGTTGAAACATCAAAACACTAGCCAAAATTGCACAGAAAATATCGACAGGAAAACTATTTTCTGAGCTGCTCGAACCATATAATGCCTGTTGACTAATTTCACTTGATAAAAACCCGGGAGTTAGGCCAATTGGAATAGGCGAAGTTATCACCAGAATAATACGTAGAACCATCCTAAAAGCTTAAAAAGCAAACTTATGGTATTTGGATCGATTCGCCAACTATGCCTTGGCCAAAAATGTGGCATCAAATATACAATTCACACGCTTAGGAAGCAATACGAGAAAACAGATTCCGCAATTTTACTGATAGACGCGGAATTGCATTTAACTCCCTAAACCGGAACCTGGCTTTGAAAAACATTGAAAAAATATGCTCTTCAATACTGCCCGCTATAGAGAACTCATACTCTAATCCATCCATACTCTTCGTAAAAAAAAGTTATCCTATCTAGAGAAGGAACCACACAAGGAGACTCATTGGCAATGGCCAATTTACCTTTAATAAAACTAGTCAACGATAACAGCTCAACTCAGAAATGGTATGCAGACAATGGGAACGCATTCGGAAATTTGAAAAGCTTGCAAACAGTTCTTGACAATATTATCAAACACGGAAAAAAGTTTGGATATCATGTAAAGGCATCGAAATGCCAGCTCATTGTAAAAGATGAAAAATACAATGAGGCGATAAAATTATTCAAAAATATCAAAATTGAAATGAAAAAAGGGGCCAGAGTACTAGGATCCGAGAATGAATGTAAGACTTTCTTAGAAACCCAGTTCGAAGAACATAACAAAATACTGAAAAAAAACTTTGCAAGATCGCGAAAAATTCTTTAAAAAACGTGTACTACTGTTACACTAAAGGGGTACAGGAAAAAGATCGTTTTTAGCTAGAACTACCCCCCAATACCACAGAAAACATGCAGGCCTACGAGAAGATACCGCAGGAAAATCTCATTCCAAACTTAATTGGTAAAGATAATATTAGCCATCAACTTAGAGACATCGCTTCTTTGCCACTGAAAATGGGTGGTCTAAAAATCAAGCTACTTTCTTACTATGAGAACTTCTTAGAATCGTCATTTAAAACATCGTCAGTTTTAGACACATACGACCGATTAAGAGCTATATCTGAGCAAAAAAAGTCTACACAAAAATCAAAACACTAAAAACTGAAAGAACAAACCAAAAGAGAACTAACTTTTTGAACAAGTTGAGCGACAGTGAAAATACGCATATGAGCTAGCTCCGAAAAAGGATCCTCAAACTGGTTAAACGCACTGCCAACTAGCAAATAATATTTCAACCTAAAAAATCCGAATTCCGGGATGGAATTTATCTCAGATATGGATGGTAACCAACTAACATTCCACTCACATGTGCATGTGGTAAATCTTTTGATCTTACCCACCCACGCCCTTCACTGTGCAAAGAAAGGATACACCCACATGAGGCATGACGAAATCAGAGATACTTTTGCCAACCTCATGAGCAAGGTTTGCTATGATCTTGAAATCTGAGCAG